ACCAAATGTATTTAAATATAATTCAGATACTACAAAGTGAACATCTGCCATCAGTATAATCCTGTATAATAATAATGTTTTTAATTGTTTGTAGCTTAAACGAGAGACCAAAGACAAATCTCATTAGGTTTGTTCTCTTTCTTTATGTTCAATCACAGTCAAGTATACAGGGCATTAAGTAATGAACATTAAGAATATTAATTTATCTGTCATATTATTCTGAAGCATAAGTTAATCATTTAAATTATGAAAAATGACTCCCTCCAATCACTTCAACCACAAGATGACATCCTCAGAAACCAACAAGCTAAAACTAAAATAAATAAAATAAAACTGAACTGATAACCTCTATTTTAGACTCTTTAGTTTTAACATTTGGTGGAGGAGAATGCAGAGGATAAACATATGTACAAACTCAGAAAATACTGGGCTCCAACTGGTCAAATGGTGCAGATTAAAATTTACATATGAAGAATCCACTTTTTTTAGCCATTAAATACATTTTGTTGTGTACTTTGAGTAGGAGTGCAGAAAACTTTTAGTTTAGTCTCTCCTGGTGGAGCGTAGATATCTTTATATTCTGTTTGGGTTATACTTTTCAAATCATTCCGTTTTTTTTCTCTTTTCTGACATTTTCTGAACTACTTTGTCAAGTTATTTGCGACAGAACTGCCAGATAAGGTCTGGACGTACCGACTACAGTTTGATGGTCTTTATTCTCTGGCTCTGGGTCGGACTCTGGCACCAACATGGGAAGGTCCTGTCACACTAGATAACTTATACCAACTTATGAAACATTTTTATGTCTAAATTGCTAATAAAAGTTGTACAGTATATTTGATCAATTTTGACAGTATGTGCACACCTAAAAGACGCTTCCAGTTGTTAAATGCAGATGTCTTTAAATTTTCATAAGTTGTCTAAAACGTCAGAGACAGAGGCTTCAGGCTGCAAGTCTTCCCTTGTTGACATCTTTTAATTAATTAGTAAATAAAATGTCGTAGTGGTAATCTGCTCTGTCAAACTAGAATGAACTGCTGCGGAAGCTGGAGGGGGACGGAGTGAGAAGCATCTTGATTGGATTTAAAGAGACAGCCTCAAAACGAGTTGATCTGACAAACACCCCAGAAAAAGGGGTGAAAGAGGGGCTTGTGGAGTTACAGTAAGGAGGAATTCAAACCAAACATTTCAGTTTCACTTTATATAGACCATCTGAATGATTTAAATATGAAAATGAAAGATTTAACAGCAGGACACATCTCCTTTAAAGATGTGATGGTTCCACCCCTTGGTTGCTGAGAACAGCACTACATAAACTGCAGTACTGGCTCTCCTCTTGCACCAAAACAACTGAAGAATAATTTGACATAACTAGATTCAGATTTCTTCATTGTTTTATATTTACTTTCTATACGTCCTATAAAAAGGTACTGCTTATATGCATCTTGGTTAAATATGGTTTATTTCCTATAAGAGTTGCTCTTGAGTTAAAGCGTTTGAAGCCAAGCTCATTATATGAACCAGGATTTTGATTCAAATTCAAAAATACTTGATTGATCTGTAGGAAAATTATGCATTGTTCAAAATGTTATGTGTGAATAAACAGGAATCCGCTGGATTTCTTCTTTAAAACTTTATTTTCAGTCTTCTGACTTGTGTTAAAAAATTTCCTTCAGATCCCAGAGGGAAATTAGGTTGATAAGCTTGTTTGAGAACCAATTGATGATAGCACATCTTCTTAATTTGCCTCAGAAGGTCGTTAATGAAAGATGTGTGCAAAAACTATTAATGCCTGCTAAATTTAAAATTCATCTTAAAATCCATACTTCTGACTTCCTGAAGTTTTGTAAAACTTAAGATGTTTTTAAAAGTTCTAATGACTGTTTCTCTTAAAATATACCAGTATCATTTAGTCTTAATATATTTTTTAATTAGGGTGCTTGTTAATTTTTTTTCACCAAAAGTTGTTTTATCTTGCATTTAATAGTGGACTTTTTGAGGGTATTATGGTTTATGCTTTGTGTGTGCAGCTCTTACAGACCTGGTGTCAAACAGCTCCCAGCGCTCTCTGTAATAATACTGGTCCAGGGTTTTGAACCAGTGTGTCGGCTGCTGCAGCCTTGTGCGGTTCAGCAGATCCTGAAAGGTGGGCGACACATACAGGTCCTGGTCGATGGGGAATGGCATCCTGTAGTGCAGGTTTTGCAGAAGGTGATACGCCCCCTGGTGGACGGAGCGAGTTGGGTAGTACATAGTTATCTGAAATAAACCAGAGAGCGCAGCTGTCAGAGCCCAGAGGCTGATGTGTTTCCATCAGGGTGTATCTGTGACCTGACCTCGTGCAGTGACTGACTGGAGAAGACTGTGTGCCAGCTGCTGGGCTCAGCGCTCAGAGCTGGGAGCAGGGAGCGACCCGTCAGGTAGACCTGAGTGGTGGGACTTCCAGGGAGGCTGTAAGCTGGGTAGGGAATAGAAAACCAGTCCAGGATGGTCGGTGTAATGTCTGCCAAAGAGAGAGAGAGAGAAAAATTTTTAATTCACAGAAAGAAAATCTATAAACTAACACCTGATCTGAGGTAAAAGCTTAAAACCAGATTTGATGTCATTTTAGTAGGGAAATAAAAATCTACTACTATACTTTACATGGGAAACTTTTGGTCTCTCTCCAGCTAGAGCTAAGTATAGCAATGCATTTCTTTTTCTTTTTTTCATAAAATGGACATTTTTTGGAGTTAAAACACTTAAATGTTTCAGTATAGTGTTTTATAAAACTGTAGTCAGAAAATAGCATGAGCGTAAAACATAATTACTGCAGTTTTTGTTAAATTTCTTTTTCTTTACTAAAACAACACAAGCCAAAATAACATCACAGTTAGTTTAAACCTTAATCCTGAACAGGGCTTATTTGTTGTGGTCTAAATATCTTCTGTCAAATTCTATTAGAAATGTTTGAACTGATTAGTTCTGAGTAGGTTTTACTTTGTTATTGTTCAGCCGCCCCCTTGTGGTAGTTTAAAGATATCACATAAGTAAAAAGTCCTCCCAGCTTTGACTGTTCGATTCTGTGGTCCCAGACCCTGACCCTCAGGTCCCGCTGTCCTGCATCCTGCATCCCCCCCACAACACACCTGATTCAAATGAATGAATCAATAACATCTGCAGACGTTTCAAGCACAGACTCATTCCTGAAGGTCACAAACATTCAGTAACTTCTTCTGCCATGTCATTTGCATGTCAAATTTTTGATAAATGAAGTATCATAGTTGCTCATTATTGTTTCTTTCACTAAATCATGTCACTGACCTGTACTAAAATCATTTAAGTAGTTCTAAGTCTAGTATTTTTAGTCAGATTTTCAGTTTCACCTGTCCTGGGACTGTCAAAGTATGTTGTAGGCATCAAGAAGGAAAAAAACAAAAAAAAAATCACTTTTATATATTTGTTTTACAGAGTTTTCTTTCAATCATCTCACTTGAATAACATATGGCACAGTATGAAGGTCAAAATGACTATTGCACAACCAATGATCGCTACATCCATGTAGCACGAGTCTATATCTATTTCTAAGCCAGCTATAGATCTGATTAATGATAGGCCGTTACACCATATTTTGTGACCGTCATATATTGTGACTAGAGGGGGCGCCGTTGCGTTTCTACAGCAGAACTTGGCCGAACATGGRCACAAAGAAGAATGATACGCCAAAAGTGTAAAGAGGCTGAAGACACATACGAAAAAAACAAACACAATTGATTGTTATCCATGGTCACAGAATATGACAGCTGTGGTCATATATTGCAACTTCCCTGTAGCTTGGTTAATAGTAAAAATATTTATTCAAAAACTATTTCTACTAATTGTTTATATCCTCTAGTGTCAAAAAAATAACTTTTGATGACTAACATGGTGACTGTTATTAAATTAGTTCAGGGTCAAATAATATGACAGCTGTTATCATATATAGTAGTAATAATAGTAATAGTCAACATGCCAGTGATCAAAAGTTATTTTGAGAAAGAGACTATTCATTAGTGTTAGCATCGGAGGTTAGTGACTGGCATGGATAAGCTGGCGTTAACATTGAAGAGGCAGATGACTAGCATGGATAAGCTCTCTGATGCTAACAAATACAGTGCTGGCTCTAGCCATTTTGGTGCCATAGGTGAGTTGAAGCGAACCCC